ATACAGTCGATCCCCCTATAAGATCATTGATTTTTCCGTTTTATCTGAATTACATGTTGTACGAGTCACTTAGATTTTACAAATATGTGAGCCGTTCACAGCCCGGCACACGTATTTGTAAAATCTAAGTGACTCGTACAACATGTAATTCAGATAAAACGGAAAAATCAATGATCTTATAGGGGGATCGACTGTATAAATCTATAGTAATTTATAATAATTTTACTTCATGCATAAAAACTGCATTAATTAATACAGTTTTAATCAAATGAATTGTAAGATGATAATGACAATAATACATTAATAAAAAATTTTAATTGATTTTTTTAAATTTCTAATATAATTTAGTATATCATTAAGAATCTTATTTATTAAAAAAACAGGAAGAACAAAACAGAGGAAAATCAAATTGGGAGCATCTCAGTGAAGACTTGCATGTTTTAATTACAGTAGAAGATACGGCTGCTCGAGCAGCTCTTAGAATTGAACGAGCAACAGAAGAAATTAAAAAGTTACTTATTCCAGTGGTAAGATGTCAATAAATGAATAATTATTTTATGTAATATTATTAACACTTATAAATTAATAGTAATAAATAGAATTTTTGTGACTATAGATAGAATTAAAAATGCAAGTGAAAAAAGCAACCTCCATAACTTCAGCAATGTAATTTTCTCCAGTTGTATTCCATACCTTTGATTTAAAAATACAGTGAAACATGCTAATGTGACCACTGAAGGGATTAGCTCAAAGTGGTCACCTTACACAGGTTGTCACTAGTGATGTGCCGGATCGTTAAAAATGTATATCCGTGGATACGGATACGGATCATTAGTGTCTAGATCCGCGGATACGGATCTCAACTTTCGCACTCAGTCGGCGCCGGTGCGTGTGAACCTTGGACCCATAGTTGACGCTTTGCATTAATAATGCGACGTGTTTTGACTTGCATTGTGCATGTTTTTGTTTATAGTGTAAAAAGTGTGCTAAATTAGAATTCACTGCAAAGGAAGACAGGATAAAGTAACAAAAGTTGATATTATTTTCCAATTAAGCTATTTTGCGTCTTTATACAGATTCTATTTCGGGGGATTCCAACTTCACGGTACAAACAGTAGCAAGTGAAATTACAGTGATAATAATAGTTTGCTGTATCCAAAGCACGTGTACAATACAGATCCCGATCACGACAATATAACCCGGAACCTTAAACACTAACTTAACACTAATAGCAGAAAAAGGGATAGAATTAAGAAGACAGAAAAAAATGGTAGATAAGATAGAAATAGGGATATCTGGGGGTTTTGTCCCTTTTTTCGGCTTGTTTCTTTATGCGTACTGTTCGGTGGGATAGCACACGTCCTTCTCCTATAACTGGCCAGTTCGCTTCTTCAATAATTAGGATTTTTCCTTCCACAGTCGTCAATACGACCTTAAAACAGGATCTTTTTTCTGAACTTATTTCTGAACTATCAGGTCATTGAAAATACGACTCCCAGTATTCTCACCTAGTCCGTACACTCTGCAGTCCGGTTTAAAAATGACCTGCTACATCATTTCTCTTTTTTCTCCGGCTCCTCTTTACACCTTTGCTCTTCAAATTTCTAGAAACTGCTCATCCCACCCAAGGGACAGGAAATAGATAAGAAAGTACTAGAAGAAAATAGAACAATAGAACTAAGGATAGAAAGAAGAAACGAAACTAAACTAAAATTAATATTTACATAAATATAGCATACTGCCACAATAGTTTAGTGCAGTGTTTCCCATCCTTTTTTGTGCTATGCCCCACCTAAGCCTTTCTAAAATTCTTATGTCTCCCTAACATATACAGCGGCTATACGGTTAACTGAATTCTGGACAAGTCCATTTTCGAATTGCCTTCCTTAGCAATCCAATTGCCCCCTGTGGGGCGTGGGCCCCACGTTGGGAAACACTGGTTTGTGGCTAGTGTGACAAGGGATAGCATAGATTACATTTGTGTTTTTGGAGTGTTGAGTTAAAGTAAAATAAAAACAATGTCGACAAAATGTTTAGTAGTGTAATATGGAAATATTTTATGATAGTAAATGACGAATGTGCTATTGTTACCTATCTTTAAAATTTCATATAAGTAATGAAATTCATTAAGATAAAAGATCCACTAAAGATCCGCTAAAAAGTAACGGATACGGATCTTTTTTCCCTCAGATATCCGGCACATCACTAGTTGTCACATTAGCAGGTTTCACTATATACCAAAACAAAAATCATTAATTAAGAATTTAAGATGTTTTAATTGTTTTAATCATTATCAGTAAGTTTTGAAAATCTTGAATATTATAACCCATATGTACATTTTCTGTTGAAAGGTCTTTTATTTTTAGTTTTAATAGTTTTATTGTTTTAGTTATTTGTCGACATCCATAAAAACTGGCTTCAATTATTAAAATAAAATAGAATGTTTATACAGTCGCAGGCGAGGCTGTGTGCAACACTCGGAGAAGGGTAATGTTACAAATTACGAGGCATGCGGGGGAGTTCATCAAGTCGGGAAAAGAGGGGAGGGGAAGGGAGCGGGAAGTACGGACACACAAGTCACAACTATCGACGTAACAGACTGAAGAGGGGCGAAAGCCCGAAATGCGTTTCTGTAAGAAGTAAATGTAGGTGATGGAATTATTTGCCAAGTGTCTATAAATGCACCAAGTCGTGACATAGAATCAGAAGTTTTATTGTTATTTGAAGGAGTATTTGATAATTACTGTTAGTGAAAGAATAAAGATTATCATTATTATTTTTTCATTAATACTAATTTGCAAATAAATTACTGATTTTTTAATGTCAGTAATTTATTAGCATATTCTTGAAATTGCTAGTAATTTAAGTCAAAGTAGTAATACTGTAGAATATGATATTACAATTTAATAATAGCTATTACCATTAACAGATTGTTATTAATTAATATTGTTACTATTTATTTTGAAAGAAATTATATATTTATAGCATTAGATATTAATTTAATTGCTTTTAATATTTGTAATAGCTTCTTAGAGGTGCATATTTCAATTTGATATTTTTGTTAATATAAATTGATAGATTGAGTTTGGCAACTTTTGAAATTTGTGTAGTAAAATCTTTTTTTGAACTTGTAAGAGAACTGGAAATCTTTGAATTTTTGTTTTACTTTTTCTAATATTAATTAGTAAATTTAAAGATACAAGACAAGACTAGTCTTTTTTTCTACATACACTTTCAGTGATAATTGTGATGAATTAAAGTTGACTCATTTATATAATTCAGCATTTTAACAGAATGTGTGTGGGTAATTTTTGAGTCGAGACATGGAAACTAATGAAACTAGCCCATTCTTTTTCTACAGAGTAATGAAAATTGTTAGGAGAAAACAATCAACTAACTATTTTAGAATTTTGCTTAATTTGTTGTATTAATTAATGTTCTTTAAATTTTTTTGTAAATTTTATTATTATTATTAAAAATATAATTATAATGCAATGTTTTGATAATATCAATGTATAATGTAGGATCAGGCATACATGATGATCTACTTTATTTCTTGCTATTATTAGTTTTATCACCAGAATGTTTTTTTTATGTTTAGAAGATTAAAAAAAATTGATTTATACTTTGTTACTTTAAATTATTACTCAGTTATAAATTATTATATTTCTTACTTACATATCAGATACAGTGAAACCTCAGTTTTTCAAACAAATTGGTTCATAAACAGAATTTCAAACTCATATTTGTCCCAGTTGCCATTTGGTAACTCAGTTGCCAAACAAGCTACTCAACAAGAGCTGATCACAGATTAGAGCAGTGTTTTTCAACCTTTTTCATTGAGTGGCACCCCTGATTGAAAAATAAAAAATCGTGACACCCTTGACCAGCGGCGAATCTAGAATCTGAATAAGGGTGGGACTAATGGGCCAGGTGAATTTTTTGCAAAAACGAATATTATGTGCAATTCTGGGGTGGAATCTGAGGAGGAGGGAGTCTTCTCCCTGGAAAGAAAAATTTTAAAAATTGACAGTTTGAAGTAGTATTTTAATGCAAAAAAAAGCATTTCTAGGTGTTCAAAATCAAAATTTAAGTCCATTGAATTTTGTCAAAATACCTTCATGTAAAATAATAGTCTCACTATTGTTTTTTAAATCTAGTTTTATATCAAATATATCATCATTTTATATTATCATTTTATTGATAAACAATTTTTGTTAGTTTTTTTATACTATTTTGATGCATATATAAAATAAATATTTCGTTACTTTTTTCTTATGTTTTTCATATCAATTTAAAAAATTTAAATTAAAAAAATGATAAAAAATTGTTTATTTGTCGTCATTGCTTTTGAATACTATGAAAATACTGTAATATGCACCTACTTTGTGATTGAAACCACACGCTTTTCAAAGTACAATGCAATGCTATTTTGACATATTTGTCGTCATTGCTATTGAATACTATGAAAATACTGTAATATGCACCTACTTTGTGATTGAAACCACACGCTTTTCAAAGTACAATGCAATGCTATTTTGACATATTAAAAAATATGTCAAAATAGGAGAAAGCTTAAGTAATAGCACATGTAAATAAACTGTTGAACTTAAAACAAACAGTACATTCTTAATCAGAAAAGAAATTAATTCAATAATAAACTTACACATAAATTATGTGATTAACAACAACTTAAATTGTTATGGCACTTTGAATTGCACAAGAGTCCCTTGCTTTTACAACTGCATTTATTTGTGGAACACTTCTTTTTGCAATGATAGCGTGTATAGCCTTGCCCTCCACTTTTCAAATTAGCTGCAGCTGCTTCTCTCAGCAATATTTCTTGAGAAGAAATCTCATCTATGGAAAGTAACTTTTCTTTACAAATTACAAACTGATTGTTATTATGTGATATGAACTGATCTGTTAATGGTGTCTTTTATTTGGATATCACCAACGCCTTACCGATGACCCCTCTCATCCTCTGCCACTCAACCTGACAAACCGATCCCCATCTCATGGGATCAAAAGAACAAAAACACTATCCAGTGACAAAATGGGCAGTTTCTACCAAACCATTGCCTGGAAAAGAGGTACGACCTTGTCCTACCTCTGGCTACCCACAAAAGATTTGGTGACAGACTGTCACCTCTCTTTTGACATTGGTTTCTCGAGTGTCGTTTCGACCTTTACCAAAGCTTATCTGTGCTTTTCTACATACACCAGTGATTGCTCGAATGTATAATAATATAACCAAATATTCGGTCTTTCACCAACGTATTTTGTATGTGTCGAAATTCTCTAATTTCGGTCTTTCACAGTAACATATATACAACACAAGTGTCCATGTCGTTCTTCTCTGCTGGTTGGCCTGGTACTGGGACTGCAAATGTGAAGGCCAAGCAATGTGGTTTGGGCCAACTTGTGATAAGTCGTGCATATACGTAGTGTAGAACATTACATTAACATGCAATTAGTCATCATTTCTTTGCTTACTAGATATCTCGTAGTAAAATAGAACTTACAATGAATTATCTTGAACTACACTTTAGGAATTTTTTTGGAAATTTACTTAAGGCCCTAAACTTTGTGACACCTCAATCGTGGTGCCATAGCACCCTGGTTGAAAAACACTGGATTAGAGAGCAATGTTCCTTCTAATTTTTTTTGTAGATGAACGGAACATACACTTCTCTGAGCAAAAAATTTTTCTGAGTGTGTGTATATATATATATAAAATCTTATTTTCTCCTATAGTAATTAATTGTAAAGTAGAGATTAAAATTCATTTTAAAACATACATTTATACAAAATATTACCTTTTGTCAATGTTTTAATGTATTTAATCAAAATATACATAGCAATAATCATGTTGCAGACAGAGTGAGAAAAAAGTGAACAACAATTCAAATCAGTGTGCAAGCTCACAGGCACGGCACATAAATTCTTGTGCACGGCAACAATTTGAGCAGTCGGCGGCCGCACAGCTTAGAGGGAACATTGTTAGAGAGACATGATCAGTCAACTCGCGCTATACATCATATGTTAAAGAAAGTCAACAGCCTGATCAATCAGCAGCAGGACTATTGATTCAGAAGTTAGTGGAGCTGAGATCATCTGCATCATTAATGTCATGACATGAATCATTGATGACGTTGCTATTTAAATTAGATTTCAATGTGCATACGGGAAAGATAATACTGTTTTTCAGTCTGCACCACAGTTGAATTTAAATTAAATTAATAAAAACTGTGTTAATTGACATTTGCATAGTATAAATGACATCCAAGAATTTGTCTTTAAGGTGCTTAAGTCAAATTAAATAAAAGTTTATTATATATAATTTAGTATTAAATTATATACAATGTCACATTGCATTTTTAGCATGAGATATGGCCAAAAAAGTAAAAGGCTTGTTTTTGTGTTAGGAACAGATTAATCCATTTTATATTGTTTCCTATGGGAAAATTTGTTTTGGTTTTACAACAACTTTTAGGAATGAATTATGTTCAAAAACTGAGGTTTTGACTATATTCTGGAATTTTAATTCTTATGCCAACATGTTATAGCATTTCTAGAAGGATTTTTCCTTCTAGAAATGTTATAACCTGTTGTACAGTAGAATATTGATTATCTGAATCAATTGGGGACTGGGGTTGTTTGGAAAATTGATTTTTTGGATAATTGATTATGTACGAAAAAATATATTAACCTATCCCATGTTGAAATTCGTTCAAATTCTGGCATGTCCTTAAGTACCCTCTCATAGTTGCACCAGTGCTGCCAACTAAAACATGCACACCAACAAAAATAATATTAGAGTAGCCCAAGACATAGCCAAAGATTGTCTTGGGCTACTCTAATATTATTTTTGTTGGTGCACTAGCCACAGCACTAGCAGAAATTTAAATTTGCCGACTGGGAAGCTTTCAGTTAATTCACGTTTTGGTTGATCGACATTCAGATAATCGATGCTCTATTGTAATTGTATTTGTGATCAATATATTGAAAAAACAAAAAGGCTAAAACAACCTACAGCTTTTTTACAATAACAATGTAATTACTCTAATTGATTGACAACAGTATATTGAAGAATTTTTTATATCTGTTGAGTATATTCAGTGTCAAGATATTAAAAAGTATTGAATATCAGACAGTATTTTAAATTGATTATATATATATATATAGCATGTATAAATAAGAATATTGCATTTTTTCCAACTGTTTATTAAGAAAATATATTTTTATTAAATTAAATATAATCTGTGTATTATTTAGCCCATCCAAATGCAATAATAATAATAATGGCATATAAAACATTCAAAACATCAATGAAAATATTCAAGAAAATTTAAGGATTCTAAACTTTAAACACACTGACAAATCTAATCTGCACTTAAGTTGTCAGTTGTTTTGGCAGAGTATTCTCTTTTTAAATAAATTGTTTCTTTGTACTATAAAAGTGTGTTTAATTTTATTTTTATGAATTTATTATAAGAAGATTGATCATAAAAACAGCAAATAGAAAACTGCAAAAATATAAAAGTGTTGAGTTTGTTTCACTTCACATTTATGTAATGCTACTGCAATTTTTACTAAAGTTCATTAATTAAGACTAATCAGTTTTAATACTAAATTAAATTTTATCAAATCTTTCACTACATTTCATTAAGTTGTCAGATCATGATATCATTTATTACTGGTCATTGATTTTAATAGATAGGCATTAAAAATAATATGCAGATGTTAACTTTAAATAGTATCAGATTAAATTTTACATAGTTTTTAGAAGACAGTTAAAAATTGGATCATTTAGATGATTTGATAAAGCAGAGCTAGTTTCAAATTTCGTCAAGTCAGGATCATCATAAAAACTTAATTTTAGTTTACAAGGTTAATGCTCTGTTGTTAAAATCAACCAAGGTCAATTATTTGAAAACAATGGTATACTGTTAGATTAAAAAAATAAAAAAATTATTTAGGAACTCTTATTTATTAATAATTTCTAATAATAAAAAGTAAGTAGAATGAAATAATAATGCCAAAATTAATACTTTATAAATCTTTATATTTTCAAAATATAAATCCATATATTAATCCATTTAATATCCAGAATGCGAAATTTAGAAATAAAATATTTTAGCACACTATTAATTTGTTTGCTAGATTTGATAAAGAAAATGTCAGAAATAATTAGCTGATTAATTAAAAGTTAAAATTAACTAGTTCCACTATTGTATTTGAACAATTGTTTGCTGTTTGGAACTAATGATGTATAGAAATTTAGCATTGTTTCATTAGTTGTCTTGTTAGAAACAAGAATGTAACTATTTAACTTATGCCAGTTAATTTTCTTTCTGCACTGTAATTTAAATTAGTAAACATTTATTTTTTTTAAATATATTTACAATGTATTTCTGAAAACTTCAGTATGAATGAAAATTTAAATTTTATTAGTAGTAAATCTTATTATTACTTCATTGTTTAAATATTAATTCAAAATAAATTAATTTAAATTGAATAATTAAAAAATAGATGGATGGAGAAGATGAATTGAAGAAGAGACAACTCATGGAATTGGCTATAATAAATGGTACTTATCGAGATAGCAGTTCAAAAACAGGCAGTAAGTTTGTTAATTATTATTCTGATGCATATTGTATTTCATTATTTTTCTTTCATATATCAATAATAATAATACTGTTTTTATTATAAGAAGCTGACACTCCTCATCTAATGGCACCTCCGATTGCCATCTCTGCACCTCTCCGAACTCCTGGAAATCCCTTGGGAGCACCATTAATCTTATCTCCACGTCTTCCAATGGCTGGTGCCACACTACTCAATGGAAGTGGACCACCTCCACTCATTACTCCTACAGATGCAGGATTACTTTATGCTCCATATGCAGATTATCATCAGTATGCGGCATTAGCAGCATCTCCACTTTTGGCAGATTTTGCTGCTGAACATTCATCAAGTGGTGGGTTGTTTGGATGATATAGAATTACAAAGAGAAAGTTTTGTAAAGAAAATTTCTAATTTATATAAAAAAAAACTAAGTTTTTAATTTTTTGCAATATAAAATTATCTATTGCTCACAAAGGATATGTATGATAAATGTTACATGGTTATGAATGAGATATTTAAAAGGAAATATGTTGATAATGGAAAAGAATTTTGATATTCATAATTTAAATATTCTGTATATAAAAATGTACATAAATTTCATACAGCTTTGGGACCATTTGCTTTCTGACAGAAATGCATAGTAGTTTAGATAGATGTATATATTATGTTTCTGAAGCTTATATTACTTGATAGAGTAGAATATTTTTGTTAGATTTTATATTACACTGAACCATAGATTTTTTGGTACAGTTTAATATAATCAAGATGCGGAATTTTTTTGTAATGGCTTTGATAAACTTGATTTTCTGATCATGGCATTGTCTTTTAATGCTAATACATTGCTTTATTTATTATTGTATAGTATGCTTTGAAATATAAATTAATGTATTACTTTATATATTATATATATCTTTTTTGTTATTTAGAAAAATAATAGTAATTGTAAAAAGTAATTTATTGTGAATTTGAGACAAACTGCCATTCGTGTATTTTGAAATTTTATATTTATGTGTATTTATCAAAATGATTTTTTTCCATATATACATGTAGGTGCAGTGGCTAAACAAAGGCGTCATTTGGCTATACGAGACCATCCCTACCAAAGGGCTGGATCTCTCTCTTAAATTCATCCAAGGTTAGTTGATTGTTATTGAAAGAAAGTTTTGATAATCATGTAATTAAAATTACAAATTTGCAAATATGAGATGAGATATATTTTCAAATTTGTTATGATATTGTTAAAATTTCAAATAAATTAATTTAAATTGAATAATTAAAAAATAGATGGATGGAGAAGATGAATTGAAGAAGAGACAACTCATGGAATTGGCTACATTGTTAGAGAGACATGATCAGTCAACTCGCGCTATACATCATATGTTAAAGAAAGTCAACAGCCTGATCAATCAGCAGCAGGACTATTGATTCAGAAGTTAGTGGAGCTGAGATCATCTGCATCATTAATGTCATGACATGAATCATTGATGACGTTGCTATTTAAATTAGATTTCAATGTGCATACAGGAAAGATNAATTATTTATATATAAATATAATATTATATATGTAAATAAATATCAATAAGAGCCAAATATAGAATTGATCATTTCTTGCCCCCTTAACAAAATTAGCAAATATTCCCCAATCATAATTGTTTCAAGTACTTAGATTTAAATTTTAAAATTTAAAGAAATTTTCTAGAGTAAGTTTAAAATTTCTTTATTAATAAACGTGATTTTTGAAAGCAGGAATTCTTGATGGTAGCATAGTGGAAACATATTTCTAATCAACAAAACTTAAAAATTGTAATAAAGTTGCTATAAACACATTTTTATCATTGAATTTTTATTAGATATAATGTTACTGAATAAATTTAAAGTATTATTATGAATATAATTTAAATCAGCAGTTCTCAAAATTGAGTGAAACAAAAATCTGCAAATTTTGTTTTTAAATATTTAATTGAGAAATGTTGGTTTAAAAAAAAACCTCATAAAATGAATTTTATAAATTTCAGTAATTAAAATTTTAAGTTAAACTAAATCATTGGAAGAAAATTTTTAAAAAGATTTCAGTATTCTGTAATTAATTAATTAAAATAATTTCTACTAATATTACAGCAATTATAAAATTGACATTTGTTCTCATATTTTCTATAGCACAATTTTTTGCCACTTGTTACTAATAATCCTGCTATATCTAATTTTTAGTGACTTGCATTAATATTATAATTGCACTGTAATAATGATATATCTTTAAAGGTATATACTAACACCTTCCTCTTTTTTTTCTCTTGTTCATTTTAACCTTAGACTTCATCATCACATGATCACCGCCGTGAGCTCCAAGAGTACTAACCTGTTGACTACTGACGTTCGTGTGCCAATTTATCAGTTCTGATCCTCGTGTCATCCTGGAAAACACTTTTTCTGTCATCGTGAACAGGAAAGTGTAGAGCTGCCATCTTTTGTTACTGCCAGGTAAAACAAAATCAAAAACAAGTAACCCAAGCACAGTTTTTCTGACTAATTTTTAAAGTGGAAAAAAAAAATTAACTTTTTTTCAATTTTTTGGTTAGTGAAGTTTTCTAGATGGTGATGTATTGTTTTAGATGAAGTGTATATTGTACCTGAATATTATTCTCTGTGACTTAGAAATTAAGGGCAGCTCCCTTGTGTAGTTCTGTTTAGGTTGTTTTATTTTAAAAAAAAATTTATGTTATAAATGGTACTTATCGAGATAGCAGTTCAAAAATTTAATTATCTTAACATTGGTCACAAGTATTGTGTACTTAAAAAAAATTAAATATAAAAAAAAAAAAGAATCTCAATTTTGTGTTCAAATCCGAAAGAAAATTTTGGATTTACATATGTATGATGTACTTATATTAGAATATTTTATGTTTTGTGTTTATGTCATGACTAACTTTTAGGTTTATTATGACTGCATTATAAGAATCGAATCTCTGTTCTCTTCAAGATCAACAGTTTTTCAGAAATTGATACTTAAATATTATTGAAGGTTAACAGAAACGAATACCCATATTGTTATTGAAGTTTAGCATTTTAGATGCAGTTTATAGTAGATATTTTATATACAATTCTCAAACCAGATGTTAGAAAATGTGATGAAAAATGTTTTGCAATGTTTTTTTTAGATATAACTGTTACCCTACTAAAATAGTCTAATTATTAACTATAATGAATATTTACAGAATTTAAAATAATGCATGTATTAATACATTTTAACAAAATATTATAAAGGATTGTCTTGAGTGATGTAACATGCACATATCATTCTCTTAAAATAATTCAGAAATTTGTTAATACTCTTTCAAGATATTAATTTAGTAGTACTTAAAATTTATTCAGGAATTTTATTGTTAACTTTCTTAAAAATATATAACTTTTTTTTATCTGTATTGAATGCAGTCTGCACATTTTTTACTAAGCAAGTTATTGATTGGGGAAATATTTTAATACATAGAACTGTTGACCCAAAGTATGTGGGAATACTTGGAGAAGTTAACAAATGAATCTATTTTACTATAAATGAGATTAAAAAAAAAAAAGCAATATTTATCCTTTACTTTAAATATACAACATTTTGTATGGCATCAAAACACGATTACAATTTTTAGTTTAGTTCTATATTTCATTTATGGCTATTGGATTTTAAAATTTGGTCAAGTTGTGCCAAAATATTCAATGCAATTACATTGTTGACAAAAGAAATGTACACGATTTAGTTGCATTTCACCACATTTACAGTTTTATAATGTTTAATTTGAATCTGTTGATTGTATTGACGTGTGTTTGATATAAATAACCAATTTTTTTCCTAATTATTTCAAAATTTTGTTGAAAGATTCATGTGCCTTATTCAAATATAAGAAAGATTTCTTTTGCAATTAATAATTACAAAAACTGTAATGCATTTATTGCATTGAATATGTGATAAAATTGTGGCAATATTGTTATAATTGAAAAAGGTGTTTAAAAAAAATACAAATTTGATTAATTAAGGAATCGCTTGTTCCGAATAAATCTGTTTCAAAGTTATATTGTAATTTTTCACATTTTCTGTTCATTTCTATTTTTTAAAATAGAAGAAATATACTTAAAATAAAGGTAGCTGTCTCAAATGTATTGGTTTTTTTTCTTTTTTAATATTTTGAAAACTGCAAGTTGAAATTTATCTTAAGTTAATTTTATTTCTGCATAAAAGTATTCTTAAATTTCTATAAAAACAGCATCATTACTATGGTAGTTTTGGATGGATCTACCAATGTCAATAAATAATCCTTTGACATATCATGTCTGTAAAAACAAGATGCATTCATACACTTTAAGATTTGATATAAGGATATGATTTATTATTAAAATTCAAGAAATAAATTCAATAATTTAAAGAGCTGTATGAAGAATTGATTCACAAAATTTGAAATATCAAATTGACTGAACTGAATCTTAACTGCTTTTAGAATTTCTGTTTAAAGTTTAAATGACTAAATATTTTTCTTTGTAAGAGGAGTTGAATATTTAATTTTCCAAGTTAAAACAGATATTAAAATAATTTGTTAAAATTAATCAGATCACTTATGAAAAAAAGAACTTTATCATAGATTATTTCCAAGTTAATAGTTTCAAAAATATCAAATTTTATACCTGTTAAAATAAAATTTTTTTAATGTTTCTTCACAACTATTTATGGGATATTATTTAAGACATTTTCACATAGGAGATTGGAATGTCAGAGCACTGTTTTCATCAGACGTCCATCATTCTTTCTACAGTTGATTATTCTATTCTTTTTTGTATGTCCTCCTTGATACTATCTACTTTCTCCTTGGTCTTATCTTGTTGTTGTTTGAATTGTTTTCTGTTTTTCTTGGTAATCTATTCCTTGTTTATTTTCCTGTACTTGGTCTTATTTTATTTTTATCTTAGACTTTCTTGATTTTAACTGTTTCCTAATTGTCTCATTCTTTTTTCTTTCTTCTCCCTAATGTGTTTTATAGGAAGTGAATTTTACCTGCTTGGATCTGTTCCATTTTCATTCTATATATTATATAATTTGTGCATTTTTGTACATTTCACATCTTTTAGTTTATTCCTATGCCACACCAAATGTTTTTCATCCTAGTAAACTAATTTGGCTCTTTTATTAATTCATTATTATTCTGTCACTTGCATTAATTTTAGGTATCTATATAATAAATTTGTTTACGTATCTATTGCTACATGGTGACATCTCTTAAAGTGTATTCTCAAAAGAAATGGTAAGTTCAGACACCAAGTAAGAAAAATTATAATTTAATGTAAACCAAAAGAAAAGTAAAATACTTCATTACAGTAAGTGCTGGAAGTGGTCTTCAATCTTATTCTCTTATTCAATGCATCTTTTGCATCTTTTAAATAAATTATGGAAAATTTGGTGAATTGCTTGTATGGCATTTTTTATCTTTTCTTTTGTATCCTTTCATTCAACCCACAAGCAAAAGTTGTGTGATCATGTTAGAATGTGGGGGCTATTAGATATTAGATTTTGTGTAATAACTAATCAGCAAATTAGGGTACAGTTGACCCTCCTTATAACACTGTTGATAATTCCGTTTTATATGAATTCCATGTTGTACGAGTCACTTAGATTTTACAAATACGTGAGCTGTTCACACCCCAGCACACGTATTTGTAAAATCTAAGTGACTCGTACAACATGGAATTCATATAAAACGGAATTATCAACAGTGTTTTAGGGGGTCAACTGTATATTTTTAGAGGTACCACTTGATATAGCTTTCCCTTCTGGTTTCCTGGCTGTTATGCATAAATAACAAGGAAAAGTATTGGAGTAGTGTCATATTTGACCTTTGGAATTTTGTAAATTTCCACATTTTGAGACCTCCAAAGTCAAAAAAGTAAAATAAAAAAAAAATTCCTTGGATGTATGTTGGTGTCTATCTCATTTAATATCTTAGGATGGAGTAATGATGATAATGAAATTTGGCATGTATTGGCCATCTGTTATGAGATTCTATTTATTATTATTTAATCATCTGCAAATATACATATACTAATGTTTTTATTGATACTATTCTTTCTAGTTTCCATTATTGCATTAAACAGTATTGAGGGCAACACTATTACTATTCTTGTATTTTCTATTGTACATTGTGTGTTGTCCTCTTAAGATTCTTAAAAATCCTTAGCCTATGATGATTTTTCTTTCTATACTTAGATATTTCAATTTTTTTAATCTTTTTCATTGAATCGTATACTTTTTCCAAATTAATGTAGAACCATTATAATTTTTACCGTATTTTTAATCTCTTGATATTTGTAGCAAGACAAACTCTGGTTATTTGTCCTGAACTCTCTTGACCTTTATTTCTACGTAGTATTTTCTTTATTTTCTTATCTTAATTCATTAAAGTCAATCCTCTAATTTTTCTTTTATTATTTCCTTTCTTGAATAATGACATTTTCTTCTTTATCTAACTCTTTTCCGTGTTAATTTAAAAATTCTAGGAATCCTGTGGTATGAAGCTCCTCCTTTCATTTCAATTGTACTTCCATTTAGAGTTATTTTCTCCACATCATTCTTCATTCTCTTTTATTCTTGAGAAATGACGTTTTTTATTCTTCAATTTTATGAAATAATTTTCTTAAAGTAAACACGATTGCACTGAATTAAACTTCTTAGAATTACTTTCTTTAAAAGATTGAGGAAAGTGATAATTGCTGTTTAAAGCACTTCGGAAACGCCAATAACTTAAAAAAATTTTTAGTGTAAATGTATTTCGCTTTAAATTACCCTTCCATCCATTCAAATGTCAGATTTTTTTACTTACATATGACATGATCTGTAATGCTAAACGTTGGTTAACCGGATAATCGGGTATCCGTTTTAAAAAATACATGTACAACAATTATCGATCAAAATTATATAATTTAGTAAAAATTTTTATTAGTATTTAGGTGTTTTTAATTAGCCGTTCTTTCTAATGTTGTAGTTTTACAAATAACATATTAAAATTAATAATTAGAAAAAAATATATTTTTAACAATTGCCGAACCATATTTCAAAGTATAAAATAAGACATTTTATTATGTAAAAATAAGTTTCCTTGTTATAATCTATAATCGTAAAATTGGCTTCGTACGCGGAAAAAAGCAATATTTTCACTTATTATTCATTAATAAATCCTGTTATCTGTTAAATTTATAAAAAATTTAATAATTTAGTAAAATATTATCAAACTGGGAGAAAATGATCGATTTTTTTCTTACACTAATTCCTTTTTTTCAGTTTTTGGTTAATGAGGTAGCATCGGTTATCATTACCTCGATTAATCGGGGTTCTATTGTGTCATTTTTTGGCGCTTTGTTTTTCATTTGTGGACTAGTCCATTAATAACTGTCCTCAAACTGAGAGTAAAAAGTTGAGGGATTGGAAGAGTTAATATAAATCAATCCGTTCCATATCGCCTTCCGTGGACCAACCCTGGCGTTTCTCTTACATATAAATTACAATACACAGTGATAGGAAACTTCTTATATAAACAATATTAGCTTTATATGTACGAATTAAATAACTGATTTAAGAATTCAATAAAGAATAATCGAATAACCACGGAGATACTATACGATCAAATTTTAAGTAATAAGATCGTATGCAAAATTCTGTAACATTAAACTTAT